GAGTGTCACAGTGAAGCCGTTGATACAGTTTATAGAGGAATCATCGTTGCTATTATCATCAACTAATGTGACTGTGACGATCTCATCTCAACGACAAGCCAATACCACTAGCAAAATCAACACAAAAGTCAGCTGAATGGCTCACTCGGTTTCACTTTTGAAGGGATCGACGAATTACAAAACTAATTCATTCGTTTGCATTGTGCCAATGAAATGCTCGTAAAATGTTAGAATTTTTTGCACGATATCAGATCGCTGGCTGTGGAATTCACTAAATGGTGTAACAATAGTGGCAATTAGAATGTTGAAAGCTCATCCTATTTCGAAACGGTACGCAATCATTCGAAATCACTGGCCATGGAAGGTGAACATTCAGCCTAACCAGTGAAAGATAAATTATCTCGATGATAAAAGTTTCAGTTTAACGCATCAAATCTCAGGCCGAATCTCAAGCTAGAAAGCAATCAAAGTCAATTAACAAATCAAGATAACAGATACTTTATGCTCACTCAATTAACTCGTTAGAAGCAATTGAACACAACTGGATGAGCACCTCATCTTAATTACCATAAAAAGAGCAAACAGATAAACGTGCACTGATAATTATTGCACCAAGAATATTATATCAATATTTGCTCAATGCATTGTCATTATTCAATTAGCATTTACAGAAGATGAGTAGTGCCCAACCAAACAACTCTCGAAATTGAACTAATTTGGAATGGAGAGGACAAATGATAAACTAAAAAAGTGAACAATGGATGTCAATGTAAATATTTGTTCTTATTGTGAAGAGCATTCTCTACTTACTGGTAACAACAGCGATAACATTTATGTGAAATGCAACAAATCAACACCTCACTGTGAACTGTAAACTGCACACTTTTGTGATCACTTATCTATCAGCTCATTCATTGCAGAATTATTATAATTTATTGAAGAGCCTAGTTTATTTCTTTACTCAGAACGAATTATCCAATTTCATTCCCATCATCTTTGAAGCGTTCACTTCCCACGATAGCACTGAACTTAAACTCTAAGCAAACTGAACTCTCGAGAAATCTCAAGGATTCACTCAACTCTCCACAAAATCGATTCGATAACCTCAAGAGTCACTCATTCAATTAACATCCACATTCCGCAGTTTAGTGTTTGTGTCACTGTGCCGTGCGATAGCAAACAAATGTTCTGCTCAAATCGTTAAACAAACATAATTAATAACATGCTATGCAATATCCCACTTACTGATAATAAATTATTCACACTCGTCTCAAGTCTCAGCGAAAAGCAAATTAATTGATCGACTACCTGCAGGAATATGATACTCTGGAATATATCTGTGAATGCTGTCAGCAAACACTAGTGATTCTATTAAATTTTGTGTTCTGACTAACGCACTGGACAGGGCTGGACTGAGGTGGCCTACAAACAGATGGATTTTAGAGACAGGAGTTATTGGTGATATTCGAAATTTACAGGCATATATTACATGAAAGATTCCCTTCAACCAGCTATAATAAATACCAATTGAGCAAGTAAAAACACTTTGTCAGCAGTGTTTTCGTTACGAAAAAGGAATGAACAACCACTCTAACGTAGTACAAACCAGGATCAGATGTTTCCAAATAGAAGAACACTTCATTCCACTGACGATGAGACTGTTGAAATTGAACAACAGCTCGACCTAATAACTGAATTTTGAGTTTGATGTGGTGAAGAAACTAACCCCGCAGATTTGTAGTCGATGGAATTGAGCAGTTCAAATTTGACTGTTAAGACATAAGAAAGCTTCAATGAAAACAAAAACGGAATGACATGACACAGCATACGAGAACTTCGAATCATCAACTGAAGACCCAGGAAACTTTGCTGAAAGTAACACATCCACGATCCACAGTTGCTATTCACATTCATTGAGACAAAACGATTAGCATTTTTACAATAACTGTGAATCTGTTCGGATTCATCAAAAACATCATTTGAAAACAGGAAACGAACGCGTAAACGACCGATTGTCATGACTGAAACAATTTACGAATTTCAATCGACAGCCGGCACCGAACTTGAATTCAGCTTCGATCACGAGGCACTCACTCAGCTTGATTGAGCCGCTTGAAGCTTCCGCCGAAGAACGACAATAAGCCGACGTTGCCTGAAATTTTTGGAATCGATCATGATCGAATAACTCATCCAGATTCGATCGCTACAATTCATTTTATAGATTAAAATTCAACAGGAAATATTCTGAAATAAAAAATTGGAAGCTAATGATGAACGAAACCATTTTTAATCATCTGCTTTATCACTCTTCTTGAAATACAAATCACAAGTACCGGTGCTTTGCCACACTATAACTCACTGCTATGT